GCTGCTGTGTCGTTTATTGCACCTCAAACATTAAAACAAATCCAGAGTTCAGTGTTTCTGTACTTCCTCTAAGAACAAAGGACAGTAAAAGAAGAGCTCTGTGGCTTCAGGCTCGATCGCCGTTCAAATGACAGCGTTGGTTTCCCCCAAAAGTGGGCGGGGCCGTAACGTGACGTAGATGTTACTCTCATCTATGGACATCGATTGCCTACTGCTATATTTAACCATATATCGAGCCCGATCTTGGATTTACAATGGCTTAATGTAATGGCCATTGTAATCGGGCTCTTTGAAGATCCAAAAATCCACGGTTTTCTTAAATTTCTGATCGGATTGGCAAAAACTTCAGAATTTGTATTGACCGCCATTCAAATGACAGCGTTGTTTTTCCCAAAAAGTGGGCGGAGCCGTACTTTTTGCCCGGAAGTGACGCATTTGTTACTCTCATGTATATCTGTGAAAGTTATGTCCTGACACTTTTGTGGATGCATAAAAAAAAATCTTAACTCATCACTGCTACTCTTGGTTTTCATCAGCGCTTGCTGATCGTACGTTCTTTTAAGGAATTCAATGCTTAAACAGCATCATGGGGAACATCATCAAAACGGAGCAGCAACATTTAGTAGAAGCAGCATCATCATCAGACACTGCTGGGACTGCCGGTCTATCCCAAAAGCACAGGTCTAAAGTCTTTTAAATCAAATACAAATATTATATATCAAAACAAATCTGGCTAAATATAGTACCTTAAAGGTGGGGTAGGTAAGTTTGAGAAACCGGCTCGAGATACACTTTTTGTTATATTCCATGGAATGCTCTTAACATCCCGATAGCAATGAATATCTTAAGTGCTTTGACAAAAAATCCATAAAGAAAAGTCATCTGTGGAAGCCGTAGTACTGTAAAAAGCACGACCAATCATTTTAGCCGGCCCGGCTAAAATAACTGGATGGCCTACCTGCCTGTCAGCCTTCCATCTGGGCACAAACTTATCTCGAGCCCTCATTGGTCATGTGCGCGTTCGTGTGTGTTGGAGGAGGGGCTCTGTAAGGAAGTGGCAGATTTTCTCCGGTTGTGTATTTTCAAATTCTAGCGATCTCGAGCCGGTTTCTCAAACTTACCTACCCTACCTTTAAGCGAGGCACTTTTTTATTTTGGACTTCCATTTATAAACTGTATTTCTCCAAAGACTGCGGTAACAGAGAATGAAACGTAAAGATAAAACAACACCACACATTGGTTTTTATAAAACATTTTAACCAGCAAGGTCACGAGAGGCTGTAGCTAATCACAAGCAAACCACATTCTCAAACACGACTGTCACAATTAACTATGAAAACTCTGTGAGAGGGTTAGGGTTGTAAGACGAGAACTTGGACAACACAAAAACTGGGCAGCAGGTAGCCCTAAACTAAAGCATTCATTACGATATCATCTGTTTTACTCTGAAGGGGACCATCGTTTACTAAATGGACGAAGTGAAGAGGAGGGTTATTTCCTCATAGACTTCTCTACAATCAGATTTATTTTTACAACCACAGGATTTGCTCCCTGCTGGCCATTAGAGAGAATGCAGGGTCAGGCAATATTGCGTTGGCTTCACTTTAGAGAACACAAGGTTTCCACCTGTGAGCATGGTCAAATGTTGCTGAATCTGTCCATGGAAACATTCAGGCAAAATGTGCTGTTGTTTTCTGGCTTTGTGCAAAGTATCATGGGTAAAACATAAAAAAACCCATCTTATTTACCCTAAGTTCTTCCATCTCCTTGTCATAAAACTAACCCCTCCAACAGGCAGAGGCAAAGGGCAGAGGAGCAGAGAAAAGAACATATAAGTACATATTAAAAAGTATTGATGTCCCCTGTGTCTCTGTCAGACAAAAGACGGGCCGTCCAGCACCCCTTCCCCCCACTGAGTAATTTAACCATAGTTCTCTAAATGCTTCCTAGTAAAACTTGGAATATGGAATGAAGGGGACGGGGGCTCTGTGGCGGAAATATAATTACGGCCACTAAAAGCTGGGGAAGGTGGAGAATGGGGGATGACATCAGACCAATTTCACACTGTGGCCCTGGATGGCCAGCCCAAGCCAGGGCCTCGCCGCGCAACACTGATCAAAGCCTGCTGCAGCCGCCCCAAAAGCCAAAAAAAGGGAGACTTAACTATGCTAATCTCCAGGACAAATATATTTTAATCTTGTTAGAATACAAGTTAATGCCGCAGCTCAGTGACCAAACTTTATGCTATAAGAGAAGGAAACAAGAATACAAAATCACACTTAGTCTCCAAGTTTTCTATTCAGCAAGCAAATGTTGATTCTCATGAAAAACAAGAGTTGAGGAAATAGTCATACCTCATATGGTCATCATGTTCTCCAGACACTGTGAGCTCATGCAGTACAGATCCTAAAGTCACTGATAGTATAATATGCTTCACAAATGTTGCTCTTCCTAACAATCAATAACCAGATTAGAACGATTGTGCACCTGATTATTTATGTCCTAGGTCAATGTTCACTGACAATGCAGGGCATAGTGTCCTTTAGGAGGCATAAGGCAGGGGTATGGAGGTCAGGGTGGTGGACAGGACTTTGATTCAGGGGAAAAGGAGTTCACTCACAGACCTGCAATCAACAGCCGTGTCATCTCCAAAGTACTTGCAGGTATCTGGGTGCACGATAACATTACTAAAAACTAGTCAAATGATGAAAAGACAAACACCCAACACTTTATCCCAATCTAAACGGCTTTATCTCTGCTTATAATCACTCACAGGGAATCTGTCAGAACAGCAGATCAACATTAGAACTGGATGTTGCTCTTTAAACTGTGATACATCTCTCTGTGTTCCCAGATGTCAGCAGGAAAGAACGATAGACAGAACCACCAACAACAGACCCAGTTTGTATGACATTGGAATTTCCCTTTAGCTAGACTCAGAGTTCCGCTATATAATATTTAGGTCCCTCTGCCAATAAGACTGTCTATGCCCTCAGAGCGGCTCTACTTAAGTAAACTGAAGACCCAGTGGTCCATCAATGGGCTGTGGGAAATGAGCATTTAACGGGTGTGAGGGTTGTCTGTCACGCTGTTAGCAGTCAGCACCTTGGTAACCCTTGATCTGTCAGGGGTGGAAGCTGGGCTTCTAGACACTTCTAAACAGGCAGCTAAACAATGAGCTTGTATGGATCCTACTGTGACTTCAATCCCTGGGCAGAAAGGAAACTAAAGCGGCAGGGAGGGAGGGAGGTACAGACGTCCTGCTGCGGGGGGGCAGCTGATCTCAGGTTGAGGTTGTGTTTTTTGCTTTGGAAGATGCACAACCTGCACAAAGTTGTCTTGCAGTGGCACATGGCTCAGACTCACGCTAGAGTTTGTATTTGCTAATGTTAACAGCGTTATTATCTATAAAGGAAAGCTTCTCAGAGAATCTGAAAAAGGAGTCTGGGGACCCCTTCAGACTGGTTTTTGTACTGATTAATAGCCTACCCTCTTTGTTGACCACTGTGGTTTGGTAAGGCTGGCTTCTTTCTAATTCCACACTACCTCCTGATCGCATGGTCGCACATCCTCACCACTAAGCTAAAGGCGGCTAATGTGTCTGCTGTGATGGTGTTAAGCCACCTTTGTTTTTAAGACTAATAGAAGTTTCAAACTTCGCCCAGTAAGGTATTTACTGACGTATTTTATGTCGTAGAGCAACACGTGTGTTATCCACAGACCTTTTTTCAGGATAACATCCAAAAACACATTCAGATCAAATGAGTGAACAGGAAGTGGCAAAATGCTGACTCGTGTTCAGGTTAAAGGACTCATTCCTGCACCTCTAAGCTGCCTGGTTGGTGAATGAAGACAAAAGCTGTATGGTACATGATTTCTTATGGCCTGTAGTTTATAAGAGCTACACTATGACTTTTTTTGTGACAAAAAAGTAAGTATGTATCTCCAAAGTGGACTTACTCTTATTAACAGAGCCAATAGAGTGCCACAGTGTCGCGTCCTAAACCCCGGAAGTAAGCTGAGCATGGGTTCCTTCGACAAAAAAGCAATGCAATTTCTCCACCCATCTTTTATAATTTTCTAATCATAAATCTATCGATCATAAATCTATCGCTTCGATTTATGATTTGAAAATTATAAAAGATGGGTAGACATGTGGAGATTATCCGGCTGAACAAAACGTGATCCGTCTCTTAAATGTGTGTCAACCACAGACCTTATTTCAAGCTATTTTCCAAAATCCTATGGAGAAATTGCATTGCATTTTTGTCGAAGGAACGGGAAGGATAATAATTAATTATTTATTTTCTATTTAATGAAATGTACATTTAATATTATATTAATTAATGTGTAATCGAAATGCTGCTATGACAAAAAATATCTGAAATTGTGATCAATAAAGTACATCTGACACTATCATATCTAATCTAATGGTGCTTAAATGGGCCATTCTGCATAATGAGTATTTTAACTTTTGGTACTTAAAGTATATTTAAATGCCATCACTTTTGCCCTTTTGAATGCAGAATTCTTACTTATAACAAAAAAAATGTACACTGTAGTTTTCCTACTTTTACTTAAGAAAATAATCTAAATACTGAATCTCTGTTCCTGTATGTACCTCATCTGAACTGTTCAGAGAGCATGACAAAGAAATCACTATATTTATAACAAAAGAAAGAACACAAATGAATGTGAGATAAACACACTTTTGTAATTATAGTGTAGATTGGATGGCACATATGATGGTTAATTCTATCATTCATTTATTTCCCATTTTTCCAGCTGAAGATGTCAGACTGTGGAGCTGGAGACAGGGAATCGTTGGCTTTAAGTTGCCGCACAGTGTTCATATCAGATCGTATGATGTTCTTCCAGCTCAAAGCCATCAGTTAGGTGACTGAAAGCCTTCATCTCTGTGCCTGGTGCATACCACAGGGTCAGACAGACATTAAAGCAGCTGCTGACAACACTATTTACAAAAAATAATATGCACATAATGGCTTTCAACATTAGATTTTTTTATTTATTACAAAAGGTCAGTAATTTGTCAAAAACAGATTATTTGAAATATTATTTGATTTGTTGTGATCTCTGCAACAAAGCTGGTCCCACCTCCGTCCTTTGAAACTCTACAATTCCTCGTTAGTGTGACTGCTGTCTTTACAGTAGTCTGAAATCAAATCAGAAAAACACAAATAGTTAATGACTCGAGTGTGTGGTGGAAATTCTTGGAATGAGCTAGTCAAAGAGATGGGTCTTTAATCTTTTGCAAAAGAGGCACACAGCATACAGAAAGCTATGTCTCCACAGCCGAGTACAAAAACTGAAACTGAAGAGAGTTTCAGTTTTTGCAATTCTCTGATAATCATAATTCCCAATACAAATGACAACAGTAATAATAGATGAGTGAAAAGGTGGTACTATGTTGATTTATGACATAAACACAAAGAGGGGACTTGCACTCTGAGTGTGTGTGAAACACCCTGAAGTGTGTGTTCAGTATGGAAACCAACCCAAAAGGGAAGAATCAGCAATACAAATGATTCAATAACCACCGGAGTTCACTGTGCAAGGTCATTTTTGTATATCGTAGCAGAGGGGAAGGCATTCAACTAAATGAAAATATTGAAATCAGAAACAAGCAACGAAAAGACCAATGTTAAATGTTTTTTGAACAAAGCATGTGGGTCATTTATCAAAGCTATTAATATTACAAATACTTTTCAATTATTTTAATTCAGCTCATTCTCCATGACCTTTTTCAAAGCAATATTATAGAGCTATCCTGTGTGATTGGAATGCTGCTGCCAAGTTATTAAACCCTCCAACATGAAGTTATTAAACCCTCCAACAGGAAGTTATTAAACTCTCCAACATGAAGTTATTAAACCCTCCAACAGGAAGTTATTAAACCCTCCAACAGGAAGTTATTAAACCCTCCAACATGAAGTTATTAAACCCTCCAACATGAAGTTATTAAACCCTCCAACAGGAAGTTATTAAACCCTCCAACATGAAGTTATTAAACCCTCCAACATGAAGTTATTAAACCCTCCAACATGAAGTTATTAAACCCTCCAACAGGAAGTTATTAAACCCTCCAACATGAAGTTATTAAACCCTCCAACAGGAAGTTATTAAACCCTCCAACATGAAGTTATTAAACCCTCCAACAGGAAGTTATTAAACCCTCCAACAGGAAGTTATTAAACCCTCCAACATGAAGTTATTAAACCCTCCAACAGGAAGTTATTAAACCCTCCAACAGGAAGTTATCAAACCCTCCAACAGGAAGTTATCAAACCCTCTAACAGGAAGTTATTAAACCCTCCAACATGAAGTTATTAAACCCTCCAACATGAAGTTATTAAACCCTCATCCAGGAAGTTATTAAACCCTCCAACATGAAGTTATTAAACCCTCCAACAGGAAGTTATTAAACCCTCCAACATGAAGTTATTAAACCCTCCAACAGGAAGTTATTAAACCCTCCAACATGAAGTTATTAAACCCTCCAACAGGAAGTTATTAAACCCTCCAACATGAAGTTATTAAACCCTCCAACAGGAAGTTATTAAACCCTCCAACATGAAGTTATTAAACCCTCCAACAGGAAGTTATTAAACCCTCCAACAGGAAGTTATTAAACCCTCCAACATGAAGTTATTAAACCCTCCAACAGGAAGTTATTAAACCCTCCAACAGGAAGTTATCAAACCCTCCAACAGGAAGTTATCAAACCCTCTAACAGGAAGTTATTAAACCCTCCAACATGAAGTTATTAAACCCTCCAACATGAAGTTATTAAACCCTCATCCAGGAAGTTATTAAACCCTCCAACATGAAGTTATTAAACCCTCCAACAGGAAGTTATTAAACCCTCCAACATGAAGTTATTAAATCCTCCAACAGGAAGTTATTAAACCCTCCAACAGGAAGTTATCAAACCCTCCAACAGGAAGTTATCAAACCCTCTAACATGAAGTTATCAAACCCTCCAACACGAAGTTATTAACCTGTTAAGCCCTGAGCCTGTTTTTCAGGTCTCAGGCTCGAAAATGACATTCCCAGAACAAATGACCATATCTTCCCTTCTAAAAGGGTTAAATTAATAATCTTTTTTCTCAAAGTAATGATAAACCTGTGAGTTGGATGTAGAAAAGTCAGAATCAATATAGATGTTTTTTATTTTAAAGAAAATTTAGATTTTACATAGTAAAAAACTGTAAATTATAGTGTCCGTCCAAAAATTCTTTTTTACTTATAGTGAAAACTACCCTTGGATGATGGGTTAGTAGACTAAAAGCTTTAGGAATCCAAAGTACAACATATAATAAGTACCCTGTATCAAGATTGATGCAAAACAAGTGACATTTGACCTTTTTAGAGAGATTTAGCAAAAATAAACCACTTCTGGGGTCATTTGGGTGGATTTTTCATATCTCTGGCCCCCCTTGCTCGATTTTGATGGTTGACACCTCTTTCTGACCGTTAGAGCCAATAGAATCCAAGGGGGAGTCCCCCACACACACGTTGTGAAGAGAAAAGGTGGGGGCTTCGCGCATGTAATTTTGCATCAGAGTGGACCTATCTCTAGCTTTGACATCTGGAAACGGAAAAGCAGTTTTAATGCTTATGGATTATCAGAAATCATTTCAAAGGGACACAGACACATTAGATTAACCTATGGATTAACTTCAGCAGCGTTTTTATCATTTTAATGCCATTGAAAACCACTTTGGAGAGACTACAGAGCCAAGGTAAAAATCTTAGCATTTTTAGCTACCTAGCGTCACCTATTTTGATGTCCGTTTTTGCTTATAACGTCGCAAATACGTATAATTCAGTGGTAATGTCGGTGTCAATCGATTCTGTGTCACCTCACGATGTGAATCGATGTGTTGGATGTGGTGAAAAGATAAATAATAAGGTTTTGTGAGTGATCTTCGGTGCAGTAAGGTGTTAGCATTTTTCGCTCGTTGCTAATTCAGAGGCTCAGTGTTTATCATTGTGGGTTTTCTTTGAAAAAAAAAAAAAAAAAATGATCAGTTAGATGAGTTTCTTCCCGTTACATGGATATAAAACATTCATAGTTTTATTAAATGAACATGCCCTCAGACACTGTTTCCTGCAAGATGTTGCGGCAGTACCCCGGTACCGGGGTCTCTCGGGCTTAACAGGTTAAACCCTCCAACATGAAGTTATTAAACCCTCCAACAGGAAGTTATTAAACCCTCCAACAGGAAGTTATTAAACCCTCCAACAGGAAGTTAATAAACCCTCCAACAGGAAGTTATTAAACCCTCCAACAGGAAGTTAATAAACCCTCCAACAGGAAGTTATTAAACCCTCCAACAGGAAGTTATTAAACCCTCCAACAGGAAGTTATTAAACCCTCCAACAGGAAGTTAATAAACCCTCCAACAGGAAGTTATTAAACCCTCCAACAGGAAGTTATTAAACCCTCCAACAGGAAGTTAATAAACCCTCCAACAGGAAGTTATTAAACCCTCCAACAGGAAGTTAATAAACCCTCCAACAGGAAGTTAATAAACCCTCCAACAGGAAGTTAATAAACCCTCCAACAGGAAGTTATTAAACCCTCCAACAGGAAGTTATTAAACCCTCCAACAGGAAGTTATTAAACCCTCCAACAGGAAGTTAATAAACCCTCCAACAGGAAGTTATTAAACCCTCCAACAGGAAGTTATCAAACCCTCCAACAGGAAGTCTGCATGTGTCCTGACTAAACTAGCTTCCCTGCCTGACCCCGTTTATTGATTCTAAACTGGTTAGGAAAAGTTGGGACAGTTCCTGTTTCTGTCAGAGAGGGGAGTTCTTGCAGAAGCTTCTCCCGTATGTACTCCCCCAGCTGAGGGAAGGAGCCTCCTTCAGCTGAGAGTGAGACCACTCCGTCACAGAGTGGGAGTGTGTGTGCTGTGTGATAGGATGGAGCGCTGTACCTGAGACTCTGCTGCACAACTCCTCGCTCACATGCTCCGTGTCCCGTCTGAACAACAAGATGATCTCATCCTCCAGATCATCCACCAGCGACTCACACTGGGAGAAACACAAAGCAGAGACCACACACGAGATTAGGTAGAAGCTGAATAAATGTTGGATCCTGAACCCCAGACAAAACACAGGGGGCCGCCATTTTGAAACTAGCTGACGAGGATCCCTGACTTTTTAAATTAGCTTGGCTTTTAAACATTGCTATGTTCAGTCTGTCTGCAATAACCACATCTACAGGGTGTGTCGTGAAGCTCAATGTGAATTCTCAGCATTCCAGTACCCTAGTAAGGATACAAGGAGTAGGGTTAAAACAAACACACATGAAAGCCTTTGAGATTTTATTTCCTGCATGTAGAAACAAACATGATTTTTAAACATCTGTTTTATCTGTTAAATGTTTGGGTTAGTCTAACTTTTATTGTGCAATGATTGTGTAATCCTCTACACACTCGCTTTTGATTGGACAGTACTACAAATGTTTCCTCGCAGCAATGACACACACACACACACACACACACACACACACACACACACACACACACACACACACACACACACACACACACACACACACACACACACACACACACACACACACACACACACACACACACACACACACACACCACACACACACACACACACACACACACACACACACCACACACACACACACACACACACACACACCAACACACACACACACACACACACCACACACACACACACACACACACACACACACACACACACACACACACCACACACACACACACACACACACACACACACACACACACACACACACACACACACACACACACACACACACACACACACACACACACACACACACTTCATTCTGTATGTTTGCACTCACTGCGAACTTCAGAGCGTTGGATGCGTCTGGGCCGTCAAACTGGAAGTGGTTAAAGTCGGGGAAGTCCCCGGGGGCCCCGCCGCTCCTGGGAGCAAACCTCCTGTACTGCTTGTGCTGGGTGTCGGGGTCAACATGGAGGGCGTAGTCGTTCATGCTGTTGCACACCTCCTCCAGGAGCTCACTGAGGTGAGTCTCTGAGCGGGCGAGGGGTACCTGGCCCCCAGGAGAGAGAGAGAGAGAGAGAGAGAGAGAGAGAAAGAAAGAAAGAAAGAAAGAAAGAGAGAGAGAGAGAGAGAGAGAGAGAGAGAGAGAGCAGACGTTGAGCTGATGCTTCCTCTCTGGATCAACAAACTAATGGCTTCCCTCATATTTACCCAGAGTTTCCTGCACCAAGTGAAACATTAACATTTGTACACTAAGCTCCATGTATGGTAAACACAAAGAACATTAAACTAAGCACATGTGTCACTGCCATGGCAACCATGATAACACAAATGTTGAGCCTCAGTGTCTGCTACATCGCAGGGCCCCTGGGGTCAGCAGGGCGGCCCCTTGTTTCCGCAGTGTCTCCTCCATACTCACTAACAAACCTCACCCTCCAACTCTGACTTTTAACCTGCGCATACCCTCCCAACCTCTCCACCCAGTCTCCCCGTCCTCTTCCTCTCCCCCGGTGAAGACACAAAGCCAGGCGCTGGTGTCTAGACGGGTCAGGACAGGTGCAGCGCAGCACTCCCCCCACCCCTGAAGGAGAGCGGGTGACAGGGGGTGACGCCCTGGGGATGAAGGGGCAAGGATGGGGAGGTGAAAAGGGTGAAAGGGTGGGGTGTTATCTTTACACCTCCGAATGGGCTGGAAAAATCCAAAGGGAGTTGGTTTCCTGAGGAGGGTGGGGTGAGTGGAGGACTGAACAGAAGCCAAGTGCAGGGTAAACAGCTCCTCTGCTTCTGCTGGCCCCCGGAGCCCCCTCCACCCTCCAACCATCAAAGGTGGGAATCTTCCTTGTGTTCTTGGTCTAAAGGTGGCAGGGTGGGTGTGGGGGTGTGGCACAGGGAGGAAGAGGGGGTTGGTTGGAGGGCATTTTGTAGTAGATTTATTCTTCCCTGAACCCTTTTGTGCTTTTTAGGAATTGGCAGTGATCCCAGAGCCTACTGGTTACATTAGACGCACGCACGCACACACACAGGATGTCACAAAGTCACAAAGCGCCTCTCCACCATCTGTTTGCCTCTTCCTCTCCTCAAATATGTGGTTGATGGTGGAAACCAGTGGAGCCGCTGACTAATCCCTGCGTGGTCTTTAAGGCCCGCCCCCCTCTTTAACTTCTGCCTCTTTCAGCTGGAGATCCATGAGCTTGACAACACTGTTGTGCTGAGGAGGAAGTGGGTTGGTGAACAGAATGTGTTACAGCACGGGGCCAAAGGTCGGAGGGCGAGCAGCGAGGGATGTAGGTCAGGAAGGCCAATGACGATGAGGTTCACCTATCAATCAAAATGTGTTTGTGATGACTTTGACACCAGTGCTGACATCCACAGAGAGAGGGAAATGAGTCGTTGGCTCTCACTTATAACATTTGTGGAGCTGTCTTTTTGATTACCTACTGATGCTCATGACTTTATGATTTGCTCTAAAACATTTGCAAAATGTTTTGTATTGTTCAACAAACAGCCCAAAAAACAAAGGTGTCCAGTTTCCTATTTTAAAAGAAAATAGTCGTGGAAATGACTTTGGGGCCATTATCAATTCCTTCATTTTGCATTTGTTAGGTTGCTATTGTTAAACTAGTACAGCCTACACATTTTGTAAAGGTTTGGATATTAGCGAAAGTGCCAGATTAAATATTTAAACAAATACAAGGAAAGAGAAAGCATTGTTTATCTTCTTCAATTAGTTTTTAATTTATTATAAATAAAACAACAACATGTACACCTCTTGTGAATATGACGTCTACCCCTGTAAATTAAATACTCCAGTACAAATGATGTCCTGACTATTCAAGTTTTTGCTTATCATTATGAAATGAATGATCGCACTGGTGATAAAATAATGATATCATGTGATTTTGTCCTTCCTAGTTGCTAATGGTTACTATCCCCGGTAACTAAAGAGTATCAATGTGTGGTGGATAAAACCATTTTTTTGTATTTTTATATTATATGGTAATTATAATATGTATTATTTAAGTATCATCTATATGTTGCAGTTGGCATGGCTAAAGCTAAATTAGCCAAATTAAGCTAATGTGGACTATTTTATATAGAGGTTTTTTTTTGTTCAACCAAAAACATTCTTACAAAACTAAAGTGAGTACTACAGATGTCAGGTAAATGTACGGTTACAGCTTAATAAGCAGGTCAAATCACGGCTTATTTTCTCATTGTCTGAAATCCGACATTACGCGAACACAAACGTTGTGTTATGACTGTGGGCCATCACATAACTGCTGAAATGTGACTTTTTTATTGTATATATGAAATTGATAAATACAGAGTCTAAAATCTAAACACAAATTAAATCACATGAAAAAAAATAAAAAAGACAACTCGCCCCAACGGACAATAAAACACGTCGGTCCCGTCTTTATCATGCCATGCTACCAAATGGTTTGGAATTAAAGCCCTTCCTTGCCAGTCGGAGTCTTGTGAAAGGGAGCTGTCAGTCACAGTGTTGTTTGAAGAATGGGGCTGGGGGGCGGGGGGTGGGGGGGGAGAGACCGGTTGGGCCAGAGAATAGGCTTCTCAGGGATGCTATCCTCCATTCAATTCCCATTGGACAAGGAGCCATTATTGCTTGCTGTGGACAGGGGCCTTTCAATTTCATTGTCCTGGTTTTATGGGCAAATGAAGACCCATATATTAATAATAATAATGAAATTGTCATCAAAGCTGCGAGTGGAAGGAGAAGCTGAAATGTCATTTTGACCATAAGATTAGTTCATATTAAATGATAAAGGTTTGATGATAATAATATCACTTCATTATGACAAAAAAGACATATTGAGACATTTGTAATTAGCTGGCACTTCTGAATGTAAATGAAATGCATCCTTATAAAAGCATTCATCCTACTCTAAAGATGTTTAATTCTGAAGAGGATAAAGTATAGCTACATCAGCTGTCACATTTCTTCAAAGCAAGAGGGAACATTTTGGGAAATAATATTTTAGTTTTTATTCATTATTCCAATGAGAAGATCAATGTAAATCCAGGGTGTGGTTAGCTTAGCATTAAGACCAGAACCAGTGGAAAACTGCTAGCCGGGCTCTGTGAAACGGAAAATATGTACTTTTATTAAAGAGTGCAAGGAAAAATATTTACCCGCACTATAATCTCTAAAAACAAATCAGCTGAATTGAGCGTTAAGTTGTATTCAAAGACATAAAGAATTCAGCTGTTTATTTTTTCACTGAAGTACATCACAAACAAGCCTGTTTTTTTGCTAGCCAAATTAGCAACCAGATTAAGGTTAAGTATGGATGCACTTTACTAATTAAACTAGCTAGCGCTAGCTGGTCATTTCATGTTCGTTTAGCTAACAGTGGCCCTGGCTCTTGCCCTAAATCGTCATTAAAATCAGGTGTAGGGAAGCACCCCCCTCACCCCAAACCATACATACTTTTCTTGAGATTAATCAAATATGAAATGTATTATTGAGTTTTAGAGTGTTCCAGTAAGGTAGATTTCTTTGGAAGGTGTACACAGGTTCACATTTCCCCCAGTAAATATGGCATGAGCCCTCATAAAACCGCAAACTGTTGGTTTTATAAATTTGTGTTGGATTTAACAAAAAGGACTTGAGGCAGGCTAATTTATAGAATATCTAATTCACAGGCATTTCATGTGTCTCTGTTTCTCTGTTGAACGATTCCTTTAACAACCTTTGGGCAGATTAAACGCGAAAGCGCTCTGGATTATAAAAAAAATAAAATCAGTTAACTGCATGTCACCTCACTCAGTCACATATTATGTGTCACTATGTCAGCGTGTCATTGTGCATCCTCTCATTCTCAATGCATGACTTCCCATCGGTCACTATGAGATCAGCTCACCGCTGCAACTAAGTTCAATGTCTTTGGAGGCCTTAAATGTGTCATTGTTGCAGCAGGCAGGTTTAACTTTTGTGCAAAAGACCAGCCCCATGCCCCCAGGAAGTCCTACTGTGAGGAGGCCAAAGAGCAGAGACTTAAAACCTGCAAATCCTCCTCACTGATGGCATCTAAGCTGTGACATCCCTCCCTCTCCGATTCACACTAGGTCAAAAGCTGCTGAAAGGAGGGAGTCGGAGGGCATGGGATCAAGGTTTGGCTTCTTCTGTGGCTCAGTAACATTTGATTGAGCAAACAATGCAACAGGTGGAGGTTCGTGTTAGCTAAGGGCAGAGGAGGAGTCATCTCCGGAAGACTATCTGTTCCTGGTTACTATAGCATGACCACAACCCAAACTGTCGTCACTAGAAGAGCTGCTTCATCCACAGTTGGTCAAATACACCAGGGTCTTTAGGATCAAATATAAAGAAAACATAAGTTTGGGTGTCAAGTTGCACAACCATGGACAATTCTAGAAGTATTCAAATGGTTGCTCTAGAGAGGCTATACCTTTAGTGCAGTGAGTGGGTTGGGGCTACATCATGCCATCCAGCTGCCAGGTCCTCAGGGAGGGGCCCGCGTTCTGTTCCTGCACCAAAGCTTTCCTCTGCTTAACCAGTTGCTGATTCTTCCCCTGTTTTTGCCATTTTAGGGCCATGTGATTCATGTTCAATATCTGCACTGGAGCAACTTTGGGTCAAACTTGGTGATGTGATTAATTAGATTACATTTGTTATACGCGTTAAGGTTTCCAGATTAATTGTTAGCGTTAACGCTCACTGATATCATAGTGACCGTCGACAGCTCTAGTTATTATGCTCCAAATATCTGGAACAAACTAGCAGAAAACAGCAGTTCTGCTCTCACTGCTTTTAAATCCAGGCTGTAGACTTTTCTTTCTGCCGTTGCCTTTTATTAAATCAAAGAGCTATTCATATCTCACACTGCACTGTTGTGCCTTTTTTTGTTCTTTTAATATGTACATTTTTGGCTTTTTAATTAATGTCTGAAATGTATAATAATAATAATTTTAAATTCATTCAATTTATAGCACTTTTCAAGATACACAAAGACGCTTAATGTCATTTCATGATGTTCCTTTAATGCTTCTTGTGTTTCTGTAAATGACCTTGGAGTGCCTTGTTGCACTGCCTAACGTAGGGCCTGTTGCACTGCCTAACTTAGGGCCTGCTGCACTGCCTAACTTAGGGCCTGCTGCACTGCCTAACTTAGGGCCTGCTGCACTGCCTAACTTAGGGCCTGCTGCACTGCCTAACTTAGGGCCTGCTGCACTGCCTAACTTAGGGCCTGTTGCACTGCCTAACTTAGGGCCTGTTGCACTGCCTAACTTAGGGCCTGCTGCACTGCCTAACTTAGGGCCTGCTGCACTGCCTGCTGCACTGCCTAACTTAGGGCCTGTTGCACTGCCTAACTTAGGGCCTGTTGCACTGCCTAACTTAGGGCCTGCTGCACTGCCTAACTTAGGGCCTGCTGCACTGCCTAACTTAGGGCCTGCTGCACTGCCTGCTGCACTGCCTAACTTAGGGCCTGTTGCACTGCCTAACTTAGGGCCTGCTGCACTGCCTAACTTAGGGCCTGCTGCACTGCCTGCTGCACTGCCTAACTTAGGGCCTGCTGCACTGCCTAACTTAGGGCCTGCTGCACTGCCTAACTTAGGGCCTGTTGCACTGCCTAACTTAGGGCTTGCTGCACTGCCTAACTTAGGGCCTGCTGCACTGCCTAACTTAGGGCCTGTTGCACTGCCTAACTTAGGGCCTGCTGCACTGCCTAACTTAGGGCCTGCTGCACTGCCTAACTTAGGGCCTGCTGCACTGCCTAACTTAGGGCCTGCTGCACTGCCTAACTTAGGGCTTGCTGCACTGCCTAACTTAGGGCCTGTTGCACTGCCTAACTTAGGGCCTGCTGCACTGCCTGCTGCACTGCCTAACTTAGGGCCTGCTGCACTGCCTAACTTAGGGCCTGCTGCACTGCCTAACTTAGGGCCTGTTGCACTGCCTAACTTAGGGCTTGCTGCACTGCCTAACTTAGGGCCTGCTGCACTGCCTAACTTAGGGCCTGTTGCACTGCCTAACTTAGGGCCTGCTGCACTGCCTAACTTAGGGCCTGCTGCACTGCCTAACTTAGGGCCTGCTGCACTGCCTAACTTAGGGCCTGCTGCACTGCCTAACTTAGGGCTTGCTGCACTGCCTAACTTAGGGCCTGCTGCACTGCCTAACTTAGGGCCTGCTGCACTGCCTAACTTAGGGCCTGCTGCACTGCCTAACTTAGGGCCTGCTGCACTGCCTAACTTAGGGCCTGCTGCACTCAAATAGCGATTTTTTTCTGAATTCCCTAAAAAGCACTCTATAAATAAGATATATATTATTATTATCATTATTACACCACTAATAATGATAATAATGGAACAAATGGGTGGACTGCTGAGTGGACTGATACAGTATATATGAGGCTGGTGGTGTGGCAGTGTATTCTCTTTGCCTCAGTGACATTAGCTTTATAGAAGCTAACATGCATGTTAAACTCTAGGTTGTTTTTATAAAAGAGTGTTGACTTTCACAAAAGGGCCTTATAATTCAAAATCAGAAACCGGTTTATTACCAGGTAGGTTTACACGTACGAGGAATTTGACTTGGTGTCGTGGTGCATACATAAATATTATACTCTGTATTGAGGTCTCTTTAAATAAAATATAATGTGTGAACCCATTCATTTCACAGAAAACAACATGAAGACACGCTGTATCATGGAAGGACTCGACCTACAGATGTTTTCCTCTCAGCATTATCTGCACACTCGATCAGTGCAGCTGTCAGTGATTAAAATCCACCAAATCAATGAGAGCTGGACACCTCAAGATAGCCTGGTCCCTGGGCAGAGGAGGACGTCCAGGGTCCAGTGGGATATGACCTCATTATCCCAGGAACAATAGGATCCATAATCTCACTGTGTTCACAAAGCATCACACACACAGCCACACCAGAGAGCAATGAGCTCTGAGGTGAAATCTACTCTAGTGTCACCTTTATACTTGATTATTCATTTATAATGTTATGCCAGTGACAAGCAATAACTTTGGTCTGTATTACTTCTTGCACTATTTAATGGTTCTTTAAATTAATTGTATTGTTTTGTGTCTTATATACGTATACTGATGTTGCATTGTTGGAAGGTGGAACTTATCTAAACTGTAACTACTTTGCATATCATATGACAATAAAGCCTTGGAATCCTAAGAGTAGATCCAAGCGAGAAACAAGATGCGTTTACTACTAATAAAATGCCTACATAACCTGTGTTGGAAAAAAGAAATGATGCCAACACACTGAAAAAGATGTAGCCTTTAAAGCGCTGACACCACTGACCAGCAAGGTGTGAACTTTCATGTAGAACTCAATAAAAAACATTTTTATAATTATTATTACGTCACCGCGTATACTTCAGCAGAATATCAAAACAACGGCCCAGGGTGCAAAACGCACCAATGAAAGCGACCCTCTACCACACAAAACAACACCTGTAAATAACCCAATTTGTGTTATTTGAAATTGAAAAGGATATTGCATTGTGTTTGTTACTTTCGTTGCAGTTGTATGTCTTAAGTGTAATTTGGCATGCTTTTATTTTGAAGGCGAGTTTACGCTGTTGACAGGAAGTTGTTTTTGCTATGGAAACAAGAAAAGCTTCACAGCGGGTTGAACTTGTCATAAAGTCCGCGATAATAAAACCCACCCATTTAGAGGGAAGATATGATTGGTCAATTGTACTGTCATTTAGTGGGAATGCTGATACAGCATTCCAACTGTTATTCTACGGACAAAATTGTTATTATTCCGCCGGAATTTTGCACCTCTTCTCCTCCTGCATTCAACATCGCAGAAACTCTATTCAAACATCAAAACGTTCAGCTCGGTCGGGAATCGATGGCTATTACTTTTATCATTCATAACTTTCATAATTCCAGAGATACATCCCATAATTCATCAAATTTTTAACCATTGAAGTCAATGGAGAAACTCTTCAGACTTGAACAATCTTCATGCGACTTCAACTGCTAACTGTTCATTCATACTTTCACTCAGAAACCTCATTCCAACTTTAAAATGTTACACATCTTTCTGACATTATTCGTGTAACACAACGATTTCTTCAAATGCCATTGCCATGGCAACACAATGCTCGCCATGAAACACGGTTTTCTCATAACTTCAGTGAAAATGCTTCAAACGGCCCAAAACTTCACAGGTTTGGTAACGATGCAGCCATCAACGCATCTAACCGTATTATGGGGTGTCATCAAATGCCGTTGCCATGGCGACAGACCACTCGCCATGAAGCACGATGTCGCTGTAAGTCCAATGGACACGGTCCGATCGTCCCCCAAACTTCGCTTGTATATCACCGGTCCAGCCCTCAACAGCTCTACGTCAATTATGGGGTTTCTTCAAATGCCGTTGCCATGGCAACACAATGCTCGCCATGAAACACGGTTTTCTCATAACTTCAGTGAAAATGCTCCAAACGGCCCAAAACTTCACAGGTTTGGTAACGATGCAGCCATCAACGCATCTAAGCGTATTATGGGGTGTCATCAAATGCCGTTGCCATGGCGACAGATCATTCACCATCAAGTTAGTTCAAAAGTTTGCAGTTCAAATATTCAAGCCTTTTTACTTTCTTTTCTTCACTCATCACACATTCAAGCCCCCAGCTTTCATGTATCATTTCAATCTAAATTATTCACTTTCTTCTTACACATTACATTTCAGCATAGCAGTTTAGCGTCAGATTTTCAGCATAAAGCATTCCCACTAGCAATTTCTTCAGGAATTGCATTCTCTAGTTTGACATTACTCTCTCCTTCAGTTACTATAGTGGGCCCTCTGTGAATTTACAGCAGGACCACCAATCAGCTCCTGTCTTCACAGGAACTCGCAGAGACGGCTAAAGGAGCTTCTTTCATTTAACCCTTCACATTCAAACAGAAACTGAATAGGCAGATTCGAAGGATTTATTTATCTGGAAATGTTATTTTAAATACAATTAAATCAAGTTATTTTGGTAAAACTAATGAAAAATATAACAACAACAAAAAAATATATATATATATTTAAAAAAATATATATATTTTTTAATGTTTTTAAATATTATTTTGTAGAATATCTTAGGCCCTCAGAGAGGAGCTAGAGGGACCTGGCGGCTCTCCACTGTGTGTATGTACCGAGAGCTGTAGGACAGGGGGGGACACATCAGTTTACTTTACCTTTTTGTCTTTCATGGTTCCGTCAGGGTTGAGTCTAAAGCTGCCAACGTTGATGGTTTTCTTTGGGTCAATCTGGCTGATCGAGTAGTTCAGTTCGTCAGCAATGGCCTTGCATGCTGGGAAACAAAGGTAAACCTCAGTGATGGCAACAAACTGCTTATTGTCATGAATTGAATTTTGTTTAGTAGGTTCTTTAAATAGAAAGTTCAAGGGTAATTTGTGTTGACTGAAGGGTACTCAATGTTACTGTTAATAAATGATACTGACTAACATGTTTAAGCTGTTTAGGACAAAGACGTCTGACACTGCAACCCTATGTGTGTCCAATGCACTCATACATCTCATGAGTTTCTGACAACAAGTAAATCGTGTGGCTGTCATTTTTCATTTTATGATCTGGATTTCATTTTAGAATATTTAGCCATCTTGCTTATAGGGCACATTTCAGGCAGACACACCACCACACTTTATCATGCTAGGTAGGGGTCGACCGATTATCAGCCTAACACTATAAACTGAGGAGTGATTCCACTGAGTTTAATGTATTATCTTCACTCTGCTGTTAACTGCTCGCATGTTAAGAAGTATCTGATCAGTGATGCACTGCAGCGTCCAATCAGTGAGCGATACACAGTAAGGGGGCAGGGCGAGTGTCTGAGGATTTCCCTGAAGGATGGTCTGGTGGTTCATTGGTTATCGCTCCTCGCTCCTCCGGCACAATTAAGCGCCATGGGACGCTCCTTAAGATGGTTATTACACAAAACTCTACTTCCGTTGAGAGAGAGGACTGAGGAGCGAGGAAATGATGAATTATGCGGCTTTCACACCAGCGCATTTCCCTTTCGAGCTCCTAGCTAGAGCTTTTCTGGTTCAGCTCCGGTTTCCCTTTTCTGCTCCCGCTCTGTTCACACCGCCCAGCTGCCGCTGCTGCGTCATGGCGTCACCGTTTACATCGCTGATTTCCTCCCCAACGGAGCTCACAACAACAACAACGGGGGGTGACTGCGTCGGGTCGATGATCGTGTTGCTTTTAATCATACGAAGCCAGATTAAATTAAATAACGACTTCTCCAACCTTATACTTTTCTCCAGAGTGCCGTGGTTCATTGTTTATTAATGTGTTTCAGCGGCATTTACCGACCGCTGCAGTGCTGGCTGCTCTTCCACGGGAGTTTATTCTCCCGTTAGCTCCGGGTTAGCTCACACGGCTCTAAAGTATTCACTGTCTGACTGTCACACAAGCAGCTGATACATATCCCCAGTTCCCCTTAAGTGAATGCGTGTCAGTCTGAATTGACGCTGTTTGGCATCACAACGCTGTTATGAAAGTTTCTCTGGTATAACATGGGTGATGTTAGCATAGCAACCGAAGCTAAACTGACTACTTGCTAAGCCGTTTTCTACAGGCACATTTTACCGGCGTATTTTTCATTATGATTCTACTTGTGATAGTCGGACATGACAACCTGTGCAGCCCATGTATTGATTCCATCCGATAGCTGCTATAATAACAAACAAAACATCTGCCTGCTCTCCACAATGATCAATAACAGCGAACGGATGGTCAAAGTAAGGTACAAATAAACAGAATCACACGAAGCCTGGTTAGTGTTGCCTGACTTTATAAAGTGTTTTTTTTTTTTATAAGTGTGTGGTTGCCTTCTAGTCACTTTGCTCAGCACTACTGCTTGTATGCAGGCATGACGAGACTCTTCAGTCGACCCATGTTCAGGGGAGGTGGGTTTAGTTTCCTGCACGCCTCGACGTAAGAGAGACGTAAGCGACGCCGCCTCTTAGCTCCGAAGCTCTTGCCTCTAGACCGACAATTTTTTGGAGCTGGAAGTGAACCGCATTCCGGAGCTATGACGCGGCGCCGCTGCGGTGTGAACAGGAAAAACCGGCGCTTTTCCAGCTCCAGCTCCGAGCCGGAGCTGGAAAAGCGCCGGTGTGAAAGGGGCATAAGAGGCCTGAGGTCCAGCAGCCCTGGTCCAGCCGTACACTTATTCTCTTTACTTCCCAATTGTTTTTATTTGACAAGTTAACCTCCTTTATTTATGCTAAGTAATAGCAGAAGGCAGTAAATGTGGAGGGACAGACACTTCTGTTACCCTTCAAAACACGGGATTGAATTCAAATGTTTTTGAACAACAGCAGCATCTTCAGTACTTTAGGGATGAGTGACTCACCGGAGCAGTAGAGCTGCTGGTCCCTCTTCCCCTGGCTGCTACTGATGAACACAGAGAGCACCATCATAGTCGCATGAATAATCCATGAGGCCATATTACAAACCTAGCAGGACAGACAGTTATATTAGCAGTGTGATTAGACAGGAGCGCATTCTCAGGAAACCAACGTAACATACATACGTAACATTGGTCAAGGTCATTTAATAAACCAAACAAGTGACACAATTGCATTTTCCATTCAACTGAATTATCAACACATAAAGTGCTGGGCATTCATTCATTAGCATATATTTGTTTATATAATTTAGTGGGAATGTTGATACAGTGACAAACATGGAGGGTGACAGGAAAGACAACGAACCGACATGGAGCACAGGGGAAGACAAGACTAAATACACAGAAGGGTAATCACAGGACAAGACACAGCTGGGCAGGGGAGGCAGAAACACAAGGGCAACAGGTGAACACAATCAGGGCAAACTCAGGAAGGAAGACCAGACACAGGGAGAACAGAATTTCAAAAATAAAACCATGACTAGACAGACAAAAACTAAAATCGTGACAGTGCAGGTGTAGCTGTTTTTCAGGGTTCTCCAGCAAGATCACATCGAAATGGAAATAGAAAATGGCACTTTGAGTCATTGAAAGGTTTGGATATTTGAAAAGTTATGTTTATATTGTAATATTGTCAGAGGCAAATTAATACCAGTTGTATGAGAGTATTAAAAAGACTGTTGAAATACTCAGTGGTGGCTCTAGGCCTGGGCATCATGAACAGCCACTGATGTCCTATAGCTATCTGTGTGCAGCTTCTGACACTTATTTGATGCTTGAATAAAATATACTTGTTTGAACTTTGTGTCTCTAGGCTAGCTGGTTTGTGTAAGTAGCCTTTTGTAAGTGCTATTATAATGATATTACTAGTTAGTTTTTAAGAGTTCACACATACCTTGAAAACCCCAGTTTTCAGAATGAGTATAGTTGTTGGTCAGACACACATCCCAGTACTTTGTAATGTGGATAACTTTCCTACCAGATGAACAAATCATTAACCAGACTGGTAGGCCTACCCGTTACATCAGCTAGTCTGGTGAGAGGTCTGGTGTTTGTGCCGTGCAAACTGGTTTCACTGGGATGGATTCAAACTCCCTGCCTGAATTATTGTCTCAGTCTGCCATAGGGGATAGGCTGTGAGGGATAGTAACTAAGTACATTTACTTAAGTAGCCTACTGTACTCAAGTACAAGTACATTTTGAGGTACTTGTACTTTACCTGAGTATTTTCACTTTATGCTACTTTATACTTTACTCCAGGGCCGTATCCACCATTGAGGTCACCGAGGTCCGGACCTCTGTAATTTTTTTACCTGCTTGTGTTCATCAGGACATCATATGACCAGCAGATCCTGTGTGAACGCTCTATGTTATTCAGTGGACGTCCGACAACATGCACACTAACTTATATTGCAGCTATAGGCTATACTTTGGTTTACATTGCGTGAATAAACTAGCTAGAGAGCTAAAGTTAATTACATTCATCCAATGTCAGAAGGATTACCTTTTAACAAACGTTGTAATGCTTTTCTTTCATTTCAATTTGAGTAAAACATTGAAGATATAACATTGTATTGTTTTATTTTTACACTGACTCAGATATAATGAAAAGACTACGTCAGTCGAAGCTCAGCTTTGGTTAGGAAGAGACAGGACAGGCAGAGAGAAAGAGAGAGAGAGAAAGTGATGGAAGTCAGGGAGGAACTGCAGGTTCAGTCACACAAAAGAATGTAGGCTTAATAACCCCATCTATCTATCTATCTATCTATTTATCTATCCATCTATTTATTTATTTATCTATCCATCCATCCATCCATCCATCCATCTATCTATCTATCCATCTATCTATCTATCCATCTATCTATCCATCTATCTATTTATTTATCTATCCATCTATCTATCTATATATCTATCTATCTATCTACCTATCTATCTACCTATCCATCTATCTATCTACCTATCTATCTATTTATCTATAACAATAGTCTTCATTTACACTATAGACCAGGGGTCGGCAACCCCTGGCACGCGTGCCACCAATGGCACGCGGCACCGTAACCAGTGGCACACTAGGAATAAGTGGAATAAGTGTACAAAATATTTATTTTATTTTCGGATCCTGAACGAGACCGCCGCCAGAGCGCGTCTCCCTGTTACCTGCAGAAGGAAGCCATGCACGCAACGCAGCCCCACTCAAAAAGGCCGATCGCGAGACGTAACATACAAGACACTTTTCTCTGTGTGCGGCAAAACAAGCTCGCCAAAATGGCTTCACTAGTCTGGCAGTATTTTAAGGTGTCCGAAAAAGACAATAAAATAGCGGTATGCAACGTGTGTGAAGCAGAAATCCTGCAGCTCCACCCGCTGTGACGGACCGGTGAGCGGAGCAGAACACACACTAAGAGTTAGACCTAACACACTTAGCTATTTGATCTACCTTTGGAACTAGTTATAAATATATTTATTCTTCACTGTCACTCATTACTGGATCAGTGAGCTGCATGAGATACTGACAGGCTGTCAGGAGAGAGAGAGGGGGAGAGAGGAAAAGAGAGCGCTTCCGCTCATTTCCCCCGTGTTATTATCCAAAGTTAATGTAAACTTGAATAATGTAGGCTACTTCATTTGAATGTAACAATTATGTTTGTTGTTGTTTGTGGAAGCGCCAGTGAATGAGCCCCATTAACTGAGTTTTAAACATCACTTTTCACGAGTGTTTTCGTCGAGCTCTTCAACACCCCCGTTGATAATTCACGATCGTCGGCACGCTGATAAAACATTTTTTTTTAGAATGGCACTTCATATCAAAAAGGTTGCCGACCCCTGCTATAGACAATAGGCATAATTTTAAAACAACATACATCTATTGCAGTTATGATGTCATAATAACATACAATTGTATAAAACACATTTTGCTTGCATTTTTGTTCTCTTTTGAGAATCAAACAAAACAGATTTAAATAAAAAAAATAATGCAAACAAACAAGTGAAATGAACTAAATTGCTGAATTGCTTTTAATTCACTGGCAGGAGCGACAAGTGAGAAGGAGCAACAAGTGAACAACGAGGGAGAGATTGAACAAAGAGAAAGAGTAGAGGACAGAGAGAGTAATGAACAGGAAGAAGACAGAGAGACTAAAGAAGATGGAAGAGAGGCTGCAGGTTATGGAAAGGAGAGAGACATGGAAAATGAATGTTGACAATATTGTGTGATCATTTGAGCCTCTTCTGCATGTCCAGATCATTCATAGTAACAATCAACTGATTCTTATGCATTACACTTTCAAAAATAATGTATTCTGCAGCCCACTGACATGGTTTGAAATCAATATATTATCCAATTTGTGACCCCCCACAGGACTTAAAAAGCACCTAACTAGATCATGAAAACCCCACAAATCTCGGGGGGGTATATCCCCGAACCCCCCTAGCATGTTCGGACCTCGGTATTTAGGAAATCCTGGATACGGCCCTGCTTTACTCCATTACATTTTGGAAGCCATCTTTAGGCTCTCCCCTTCCCTTACCTGACAGAGGCAGCCTAAATACCAAACAGCGACAGACAGGTGATCAGCCTGCAGCCCACCTGTGCCCCCCTGTGAGCACCTGCGTCATGTTCTTCTTTATTTTGTTGTTTAGGAATTCATTACGGATCGACTGGGAGATTACCGACATATTACTTGCATTTGCAATTTTAAGTTCAGTTCTGAGCATTGCGTTATTAAATGACAGATGAGCAAACATGAACTATATTGAACTAGCCTATATATTGTTAAATGTCGCTGTGGAGTGTGTTCATCGGACGCCAGCGGCATGTCTTACCTGACAGGAGCTCCACAGCGGGCTCTCTGACTGATGACCGCCGAGCTGTCACTACTTTACCCTGTACATGTTAATATTTCATCTATGATCAGCACTCGCAGCTTACATTCAAACTACACTACAAGTTGTACATCTCCGGTCAAAACTTTCAAAGTAAAATTCTCGTTGAACAACACTTTGCTATATCTGCGTAACACACGGGGATTGAGTAAACAATTAACATGTAGGAAGTAATACACAGTAAATAATATTTATTTTTCTAAAATGGCATCTTTCACTACTGTGTTTACTTCATTCAAGCCCTTTCCTGCTTTTATTTTGAAAGCGCAGTCCGCTGAATTCCTCTCTCGCTCCGCCTGGTTCCTACTGACTTGACGCATGACGGTGAAGCTTCACGTGCTGGCCTGTGGTTGAGCCACGTTCACCCGTCAACCATCTGCTGAACCAATCATATTCAAGACTCGAAGAGCACAGACCAATCACAGCTGCGGCCACAAATACAAGAAAACAGGTAACAGCTAAAGGAAGTGGTGGGAAGTAACTAAGTAAATTACTCAAGTACTGTACTTAAGTACAATACTTGAGTATTTCCATGTTATGCTACTTTATAATACTTCTACTCTACTATATTTAAAAAGGGAAATAATGTAATTGCATATATTTAAAAGCTGTAGCTACTTTTAACAAAATGCATCTCTAAAAATAAGAGTAACTCTTCAAGTCACAAAAGAGTCAAATTGTTTAAATATATTTTGTAAAGTCAACCAGAACTGTGTTTATCTACAACAGTAAAATGCTACATAATGCAACAATTTTGTCTAGAAATGTCACATATATAATTATATACACACATAAAGGCAATTTTTCTGCCGAATGAGTACTTTTACTTTTTCTACTTTAAATACATGTTGCTGATAATACTTTTGTACTTTAATTAAGTTAGATTTTGAATGCAGGACTTATAATGAAGTATTTTGAAAAACAATGTATTGGTACTCAAGTAAAGAATCTAAATACTTCTTCCACCAACCTTTTTACCTGATATGGTCAGACAAACAAAATATGCAATGACAAGTGTAATAGTTTACACTTAATAATTGAATGCTGAAATGAAGTAGGGTTAACTATCAAGTAGTAGGCAACTTCCAATCAGGAGCTCCCGTCTCTGCTGAGGCAACACACTGTCTCCTCCTACCTGAGTGGGGAAGCAGGTGGTCTCTTCACAGGGGCTCTGACCTGCTTTTCCTCATACTATTTAATGTCCTCTATAACATCAACGTCTCCATAGCACAGGTAGATGAAAATGTCCTCAGTTCAGCGTGACTTGTAGTGGTGTGAGAAGTAGCCGTGTGAAGCCAGACAAATCTAAGCTGCAGAGGTCACAAACTGTATTTAAGTGTAATCTTGAGATACTTGTACTTTACTTGAGTATTTCCATGTTATCCTTACTTATGGCGCGTTTCCACTACACGGCCTTGCTCGGCCTCGCTCGGTATGGCTAGGCCTCGTTAGGACTGGCTCACTTTATGGCGCATTTCCATTACAGTTTAGGAACTGGGGTAGTATCTATAGTAACGCAGTGTAGGCGGAGCCGTGACGTCATTTTCAATGAGAACCCCAGAAAAACAACACAGCCGTTAGCTGTTAGCACTCAGAGCTCACAGCCCCTCATATATGTTCAGAAACTAGACAAAAGTTAAACAAGTACAAACCACAGACTGCCTGTGTCATGGCGAATACAGTCGCTGCTTTATTAATGTCTGTATAGGCCGTTGTTGTGAGTGTGGACGGTCGGAGCATACTTAGCTTAGCCAATCTCCATTTAGAAAACACGCATTTTAAAAGGTTTTTCGCCTGCCGTCTGTCTGCAGACTTGTCAAAGCATTAATTCATGGTTTTTACAAACCGGTATCAGTATGTTGTTACTTCGGCATCATTTTGAAACGTGTATTACAATTAAATCACGGTCAAATATGTCCATCTTGTTGTAGTTGTAGCCCCCTTGCCAGCGATTCTCTCTCTAGTTTAGCATACTCAGCCCGACTCAGCCTGGTTGTCTCTGGCCCCAGACCCACGATTTTATGAGGCCAGAAAAACTGTGAATTAGGACCCGCCGGCCGGTACTAGGCCAAGTGGAAACGCAACCAAAGACGGGCCGCTGACGTCACAGCCCTCTTAAACCGTGCTCCGCGCTGTAGTGGAAACGCGCCTTTATACTCCACTACAATTCAGAGGTAAATGGTGTACTTTTACTCCCCTACATGTATTTATCTGTAGTTACTTTACAGATCTGGATGAATGATGTGAAATATAATCAAGTCTTAAAGGTCCCATGTCATGCTTTTCCGGTTATTACCCGTCCCCTTGTGTGTTATGAAGGTTTTTATGTAAACGGTCTGCAGAGTCACAAACCCTCAAAGTACACCCTGTAGGGAGTAAAACTCTAACACAGAAAAGACCTGTCTATGCTGCCCCAGAACGCCTCGTTGGAGATTTCTCTTTTTCCATTGTTTACTTCTTGGGTACAGTGACGTGCCCATACCCAAATGGACCCATTGGTCCAAATGGACCAATCCGTGTAGCCGTTACGTCCGCGGAGCCGTTACGTTAAGTAAACTTCCTCACACACACACACTCTTAATCTTTTCTCAGCTGCAGCTCCGCCGATTTCTCCTCCCTGAGACGGCGGGATGCGGCGAGGCTGTGAGTCGGTGTGTGAGCACACACACAAACTCCCAGCCAGGCTGCGGGTGTGTGTGTGTGTTCGGGCTGGTTTCGGGCTGGGTTTCGCTGTGTCTCGCTGTCTCGCAGATGGCCACTGGGCTCATAGGGAGGGGGGGACAGGAGCTCCAACAAGCCGTTTAGGACAGAGTGTGAATGCACATACTATACAGAGATGCTGTATGAGAAACCAATGCGATTTTGGAAAATTGCACAATATAAATCTATTCTAGTAGACCTCAACAATGGAATTATGATCAGTAGAAATGGCCTTTAAATCAGACTTTAGTTCCACCTGGAGTAAATTCACAAGCGACCCTGCAGTATACAAAGTCATTCAAACTAGCTGCTCCTTTACCAGCTTTGAGAACACTTTCATGCATCAATATTTATAATCAAAACATATCATATAGAGTGGAGGAAATCATTATTATATTATATATATATAGTACTTGGTGGAGAAACCCTTGTTGGACAGCACAGAGGTCAGATGCTTCTTGTAGTTGGTCTCCAGGTCTGTGCACATCTCAGGAAGGATGTTGGCCCACTCCTCTCTGAAGATCCTCTCCAAATCCTTCAGGTTTTGAGGCTGATGCTTGGCATCTGGAAGCTTCAGCTCCCTCCACAGATTTTCTATGGGATTAAGGTCTGGAGACTGGCTAGGCCCCTCCCTCACCTAAATGTGATTCTTCTTTAGTGAACACACTCTCACTCCATAAACGTCCAGGAGCGACGCTTGGTCAGGGTCCCGAGGCGTGCAGTTGGGACGCTCCTAGGCTCCTTCAGCTTCATAAAGGGACGCAAATAGCTTTCAACTGATTGCAATGTATTCCCATCGGCGACGGGATTTGACGCTCATGGAAGCACGGCATTCGTTTGTGTCGGAGGCTGTTAAAGGCAATGTGAGCGTCCATTCCCATTGGATAACGGAGAATTGTACACCCGGAAGTAAGTATTCCCCTTACTGTCGATTGATTTGACAGTGATATCTGCACTACTCATCAACTCAAAAACACCAGATTATCCTTGTTAATTAAACGACATTGATAGGTTTTAGTGTGTGTACAATGCTTTTGTCACGTTTTCCCCTTCAATTCTGAGAAACAAGTTGTTTTCTATGAGTTTTGGATGGCCGAAGACATTACATTACCCACAATCCTCTGTAGCAACCATAGACTGTATAAAACAATTAAATAATACATTATTCCGAGTGTGCTTGCTTTTCTGTTTGAAAGTCATCACATAACGGCATTGTAATACACGTTTCGGCTGCATTAAATATGACATATCTGCCGTAGTTAACTCTATTTATAGAGCCCTGATGACAAGACTTCTAGACAAACAGGAACTGCTGCCAAAACTGAAAACTTGACGTGGATCTTAAATATATAAGCAATTAAACAACATCTTACATTTCTTTTCACACAATACGTCTCCTTGCAGTATCAACACTAATTCGGCTGACTTTTATATTTGATCCAATTGGTAGATAGGCTGTATTTACGCCATAACGGTACACAGCTGATAGAAAGGGACACCTACTGGTTAAAGCACGTTATTGCATTTTATAATTTTATTATTAGATATTAAAGGTGGGGTAGGTAAGTTTGAGAAACCGGCTCGAGATCGCTAGAATTTGAAAATACACAACCGGAGAAAATCTGCCACTTCCTTATAGAGCCCCTCCTCCAACACACACAAACGCGCACATGACCAATGAGGGCACGAGATAAGTTTGTGCACAGATGGAAGGCTGACAGGCAAGTAGGCCATCCAGTTATTTTAGCCAGGCCGGCTAAAATGATTGGTCGTACTTTTTACAGTATTACGGCTTCCACAGATTTTAGGGATTTTTTGTCAAAGCACTTAAGATATTCATTGCTATCGGGATGTTAAGAGCATTCCATGGAATATAACAAAAAGTGTATCTCGAGCCGGTTTCTCAAACTTACCTACCCCACCTTTAAGATTTAATAAACTATGAATGTTTCATATCTATGTAACGGGAAGAAACTCAGCTAACTGATCTTTTTTTTTTTTTTTTTTAAAAACCTCAAAGCCAATGCTGAGCCTCTGAATTAGCCACGGGCAAAACAATCTTAAGGCTGTTAGCACAGAACTCTAGCTATACCGATCAATATACTTATTGGATCTGCACAAATAAGTTTAGATAACATCCTGAGATTCCACAGATTATAGAAATATAAGGATCATCACTGAGCGATCAGAACTCGTGACAGGGGAAGCAAATACAGACAACACACAACGTAGCTTTAGGTAGCAAAACACGGAGATATGCTCACTTTAGCTGTTATTCTGATCAAAAGTCGTGTTCAATGGCATTAAAACGAGAGAAAACGCGGCTGAAGGTTAATCCATAGGTTA